TTTTTAACCCCATTGGCAGATTATTTAGCTCGTTCTAAGCAAAAACTCAATTTCTGACCTAACCCTAACCCTAATATTGAAGTCATTTTACATGTCTGGAAAATAAATCTTGATTTAAGAATTTTTGGATATTTAGATTCTAAAAATTCTAAAAACACAAAAACTTCTGTCTCTTTTCACTAACATACATTTTTTTAACCAAATATTTCAGATTTTACAACTGCATAAATACTCAACTCAATTTATTTCAAAGCCATAAAAACAGACGTGAAACTGTGTAACATAATCCATCACATATCACGATAATCAGACCTAATCGAACGGCAAAAGCTAAGGAGAACTTGAGAATTGTGAAAATACTCACAAATAGGATCAGCTTTCACACTGAAATGTCTCCCATTTCTGAACTGTAAACCAAATCAGCCTCCACACAGTCTGCCCCGGACAGCAGTCCACATTTTCCCAGGGACAACACGTGAAAACCAACCGATGCCTCTTACCTCCCGTCTGCAGATCCTCATCGGTCAGCCTGGAGTGAGGGATCAGCGCAGCATCTGAGAGTCAGGGGGTGGAGACGACACACACACACACACACACACCACCACACGCACAAGCGTTCTCCAGGCCTTCAGAGGCAAATGAGTTTCCATTCAAACATCTGCAGTCCATGTCGGAGCATATTCTGATCTGATGATCTTTTGGATTATGTAATCCATGTTAATCCATCCCATGACGAAATCTTTCAATATCACAGCCAGGGTTTATTTTAGGGCTGAAAAGAAGGATTTTACGAATTTGAGAAAGGATTAAAAAAAACATATTGTACAAACTACGATTTTGCTGCCCTGAATATTTTTTTTAATATCATGCCGCTATTAGATGAATCACTTTTTTGCTCACCAGCCACTGCGGCGAGTGGTTTTTCAGCATTTTCACTGGCCACAATTTTAGCATTGATACCATGATGAAGACTGCCATATAGATATTTTTAGTATTATCTCATAATTTGGCATCGGGTATATTAGGCTGCTGTCACTTTAAGACCTGATGCACGGATCCATTATCCTGTTACACATGTGTCTCAACTGTTTACGTTCACTTAAAACATAACTGCGAATGAGTAAAATGATGTGCAATGAAAGCAATCCCATGCCGAAATTCAAGCCCTGAATGTTCATACACCAACAATATTCATCCAGAGCGAATTAAACGAGTTACACACAAACCCGCCTCTCCTCACTCGCTGAGAGAGTATTACTATTGCAAGCGTTTCAGATATTTCAGCATGGATATTTTTTGAAAACACTACTTTGTTATTTCAGATGCCCTTTTAAAAGACTACAATTGAAAAATGTATATATTATTAGTAGCCAATGAGCTCGCTGCTCAACCTCCAAATACTTACACCCCATTTACACGAAGGGAAGACAGATATTTGGCCACTCATTTACACGAAAACCCTGTTTTTATCACAGAAAACAATTATTTCTAAAAACTTCAGGCAAAAGTGGAGAATTCTGATAACGCCGGTTATGTTTTGCCGGGGTTTTAGGTTCTCAAACGTCACATTATGCGTCAGAATATGCATAACGTCATGTGAGCGCCCAGTGTTTGGTTACTGATCATGGATGCTGTTAAAGGAGTAGTTCACTTTTAAAAAAACTTTTGCTGATAATTTACTCACCCCCATGTCATCCAAGATATGCATGTCTTTCTTTCCTCAGTCGAAAAGAAATTTTTGAAAGGTTTTTGATGAAAACATTCATATAATAGACTTCAATGGGGTCCAAACGGTTCAAGGTCCAAAAGATACTGTCAGTGCAAACTGCAAACTGTTCAAAGGGCTTTAAACGACAGCAAACGATGAATAAGGGTCTTATCAAGTGAAACGATCGCTCGTTTAATAAATAAATAACAAACTTTAAGTTTTATAAGCACAAATGCTCGCCTTGCTCTGTTCTTTGATGCGTGTTTGTGACTCTCCTGTTCAAAACTCCTTCAAATCAAAATGAACAAATCTTTTTCCGAGTTTGGTTCATTTAACGAACGAAACGAACGAATTGACTCAGAAAAAGATTTGTTCATTTTGATGCAAATCTTTTTCCGAGTCACTTGGTTCATTTAATGAACGAAACAAACGAATTGACTCAGAAAAAGATTTGTTCATTTTGATGAACGAGTTCGAACAGGAGAGTCACGAACGCGCATCACGGAACAGAGCAAGGCGAACATTTGAGCTTATAAAACTTAAACTTTGTTTTTTTTTTTTTAAACAAGCGATCGTTTCGCTTGATAAGACCCTTATTCATCGTCTGGAATCGTTTAAAGCCCTTTGAACAGTTTGCACCGAAACTGTCATTTGGACCCCATTGAAGTCCATTATATGGAGAAAATCCTGGAATGTTTTCATCAAAAACCTTCATTTCTTTTCGACTGAAGAAAGAAAGACGTGGACATCTTGGATGACATGGGGGTGAGTAAATTATCAGCAAAAGTTTTTTTTAAAAGTGAACTACTCCTTTAACAGCAGCTTTGCAATATCAACCTGCAACATAGACAACATACTGTAGATCTGAATGTATTTTCCTCGATGTCCCCTGAGGAAAGAAATGCTATGGTTTTTAGAAATAACTGACACATCTATCTCAGTCTCTTTTCTACCAAACTGGTAATGAGTACTTTAAATAATTCTTGAAATTGCTCTGTGTTTATTTTTTCAATATTTTATTTGTGTCTTTGAATGTAGTGTTTTTGGTTAGCGTGGAGGATTTGTAAAAAAAAAAAAAAAAAATAATGAAAATTTTGAACTACAAAAAGCATCAAAGTGTTCCCTAACCAGAAGCCATGAAGGGAAAGTACAGAACGGGATGCAGCCTTTAGATCAGGCATCAGAGAGATAACGCGTACGTATAAAAGGCACATTGAAGGCCACATTGAAACTCCTCTAACGTGTGGGAAATGATAAAAGCCTTTAATGACCATTAGGATTTCCTCCCACTAATTACTAATGACCCTTTTCTCCCTGATGAACCTTTTATCTGCTCACTTTGAAGACCAAAACAGTCGAGTATCCTCAAATCCTCCTTTGCGTCTCAAAGTGAGCAAAAATCCATATATCTTCTATCATGTAAAATACACATATTTTACAGTCTTGCTGTTATTAAAGTGTCGATTTTTTTAGATATTAACAGATATGTAAAGATTGTACGTCAATGAAAACAACTAGCACTCGCTATGTTTATTATTGTGGGAAACAAATTAATTTTGTTTAATTTCTGAGCCAAGTTTTGTTCTGTCCAATTTCAATGAAGTAACTTAGGTTTATCATATACTGAGGCCGAGAAGAGTGAATGCAGCATCAGACAAAAGCAAACATTTTCAGATAAGGCCCTTTCACACTGAGCCCAATAAAGTGATGCGATGATGTCCTTGAATCAAAACCATAGATCCTTATAAAGCTATCCACACTGATCGCAATCAATCAGGGCCATTTTCCCCCATCATGCTGAGATCAAATGGACCGACCAATTACATTTGAGCTTTAGATCATGTGCTCAAAGTCATGTGAGTTCAAGCAAAGTCGGTTAATGAGCAGAGTTTGGAAATCCACTTTCATACCAACCAAAAAAAGAGTGTCCTTAACCCTCTGATGGTCTTCCTTTATGAGTCACGTCTTGAGCCTAGGCCTAAAAATGAAACTTCTTCCATCCCAGTAAAACCAATGCAATTTATTTTTGTTCTATAATATTTATTCTTTTTAATTTAGTATTTTGAGACAATTTAATTGAATTTATTAATATTTATGCAATATTTATGGTCTATTTGTTCAATGGAAATATCTCTCTCTCTCTCTATATATATATATGAAGAGTTCAGATGCAAAAGCCTCTAAGTGCCATTTGAAATTTTGTTCTAGAATGATGATTTTTATCAAGCTTGTATATTTAGGTTCAGTGATTTCACTTAAATTGCAATGATAATTACCTATTAATTGTCATTTAAGTGAAATTACTGAACTTAAATATACAAGCTTGATAAAAAATCATCATTTAAGAAGAAATTTTCAAATGGCATTTAGAGGCTTTTGCATCTGAACTCTTCATATATATATATATATATATATTTATTTATTTTTTTTTTTTTATTAATGCAGTATTTTAGTTTAATATAGAGTCTAGGCCTTCAGAAAAAAAATATTTTTTTAAGAAAATTAGCACCATCTGGTTACAGTGTAGAGAAAAAGCGTGTAACCACTAGATGGCATGTACAGCTCTCTATGGAGAGGCACGTGAATTCCCCAGCTGTTTATGAACACATTTTTTTTTTTGGTGGATTTGAATATATAATTGAAACAATCTCAAAAACTATTTCTTATTTTTTAAAAATTGTAAAAAAAAAAAAAAAAAAATTGTGAATTTTTGTGTTTTTGTCAATTTCCCATTCATTTCCTATGGGTCGGTCATTTTTGACCGAAGACCACGAGTGTGACTATTTTTTTTACGACCACTTAGCATGCTCGGATCATGACCTCAATTTTTTTTTGTATTCACATACCAAATGCCAAAAAAGTCACCAAGTATCATAACCTTCCGATGAAGCTGTGATTTTTAATAATTCAAAACAGAAAATTATTCGGTCAGAAGTGACCGAGGACCATCAGAGGGTTAAACATGGACCGAAAAAAACCTGTTCCTACATATGAATCTGCTAGTCAGCCCCTCACTGCACAGCCTCAATGTCATCATACCTGTCCAAAGAAAGAGAGATGGCATATACCCGGACATAAGGAGGACGGGAGTGAGTGAAAAGCATGCAGACACATGAGCTATTCCTCTAATGGGATTGTTTTTCTCTTAGTTGGGCGAGTTTCTCTCTCTCTCTGGTCAGTGACATCTCCAGCTCCCATTACGAGTGTCGAGAGACAAATCTAATTAAAGTCCTGCATTATATTTCTCGGGGACGGAACCTGATAAATATCCATCACATCACAACAGGTCCGTTTCCCAAAAGCATCGTACCTGATGATGCAAAACCTGTTGAATTGTGTTGGTAACGACGAAACTTGCGACTTCCAGAAACACATTCCCTGATCGATCTAACAGATCAGCGCTCCTCAACCCTGTCCCTGGAATTACTAGAAAAACTAGTAATTACATAACTAGCAATCATTAAGTCTCAAGGGATGCTATTATTTTTTAAAGTTGTGCAATTAGAGGCATAGAAAACACGTGCAATGCATTGATTCTGTTTGCAATTGCATTAATTTAGCATATTTGATCAATTCTGAGCTAAAATGTTTAAACATTTGCACTGTACACCATAAATGTTGAATGCAACTTTGCATTTCCAAAGTGTGAAAAGTGTGGCTCTAGCACATACTATTTGTTTACATTTGTAAATGTTTTTATTTATTTAAGTTTTGCAGAGATTAATAGAGAAGTAAGATTAATGCCATGCATGCAATTTAACACAGCTAACATATTAATTTGTTTTTAAAAAGTTATGCAAAACATCTGCAAGCCGGCTCATTAGAAAAACATGCATGTGGCGACATTTCTGCAAACTATATTAGGCCTCTTTTGCTTCTTGCAGGTTTCATGACACTGTGAACGTAAGATTAGTGTGGACAAAAGGTGCTTTCATTTTAAACAAAAACAGATGAATGTGAATCTGGCAATGTTTTTAACCCTCTGATGGTCCTCGGTCACTTCTGACCGAATAATTTTCTGTTTTGAATTATTAAAAATCACAGCTTCATCGGAAGGTTATGATACTTGGTGACTCTTCTGGCATTTGGTATGTGAATATAAAAAAAATGAGGTCATGATCCGAGCATGCTAAGTGGTCGTGAAAAAATAGTCACACTCGTGGTCTTCGGTCAGAAATGACCGACCCATGGGAAATGAATGGGAAATTGACAAAAACACAAAAATTCTATGAATTTAAAATTCTATGAATTTTTGCCACAATTCTAAAAAAAGTATACCGCAGTAAAGGGGTGACACTCTACAAAATCAAGAGTGCAAAAAATTCACACCCACCCACACACACACACACACACACACACACTTTTATACACATACACACCAATAAATTCAGATTACAAAAAATCTGTTTTGGATTTTTAAAAATCACAGCTTCATCTGAATGTTACGAAACTTGGTGACAATTCTGGCATTAGGGACGTGAACACAAAAAAAAAATGAGTTCATGATCCGAGCATGCTAAGTGGCCTTAAAAAAATTCGGTCAAAAATGACCCCCATAGGAAATGAATGGGAAATTGACAAAAATTCACCAATTTTTTTTTATATTATTCTATATAAAGTGTTATAATTGAAGGAATTGCATTTTGATACAAATTCTGAAAAAAAAATGTGTATAAAATTTGCTTTTAGCAACACAAGCTTCTCTTTCTAATCCAATGTTTAGCTGTAATTATAATGCAAAAACTAACACTTTTTATCACTATTTCTAAAAAAAATCTAAAACTTAATAAGAAATCGTTTTTGAGATTGTTTCAAATATATATTCAAATTCACAAAAAAATAAATGTGTTCATAAACAGCTGGGGAATAAACATGCCTCTCCATAGTATATGTATATGATTCTACACCTTTTCTCTATACTGTAACCAGATGGTGCAATTTTTCTTTAAAAAAAAAAAAAAAATTCTGAAGGCCTAGACTCTATATTAAACTAAAATACTGCATTATAATAAAAAAAAAAAATATATATATATATATATATATATACAGTATATATATTTATATATTTCCATGGCAAAAATAGACCATAAATATAATAAATTCAATCAAATTGTCTCAAAATACTAAATTAAAAAGAATAAATATTATAGAACAAAAGTAAATTGCATTGGTTTTTACAGGGATGGAGGAATTTTCATTTTTAGGTGTCCGGTCACTTCTGACCGGGAAGGCTCAGGACGTGACTCCTAAATGAAGACCATCAGAGGGTTAGTGTTAGTTATAGTACCAATCTCTGCAGTCCTAACCCTAACCCTACACTAAACTCTACACTAAACTCTACACTAAATCCAAGTAATAGTGTCAACAAAAGCAAATGTGCGATAAAAACACATTTGCTGAAGTAACCATGCCAAGCAAAGTCCTTGAGTTCTTTTATCGTGACTCGTCTTTCACAGTTTCACAATGCTTACAAACAATACAAACATTAAAATGCATTAGTTTATGAATCATGCGCAATGCTCAAAGTATATTTTCAGGTCACACCATAGTATACCCTTGTAATCATAATTTGTGTATCTAAAAAATAATAAGTTACTGCCACTAGTGTTAATTTCATGTAGAAACTGAATGTAGTTTTGCAGAAATGTAGTCTGGGACAAAAAAAAGTTTGTTTATCCCCTATGAAAAAAAAAAATGTAATTAGCTGTATATTTTGAACACCACCCTTATGAAAAGAAAATATATTTCCAAAAACCGGTATATGAATGATCAATACATTAAATGGTTTAACAGTATATTTGAAAATATGCAGAATAATATATTGTGTTAATATATTATGTGTAAAAATATGTGTAATATATAATTATTGTATTAATAATACATCATAATGTATGAAATGTATTATTCAGTAATACACTTACTGTTATTTAAAACACTAGTTTCCCATGTGGAAATGTATTATGTAATATATCGCATTATATTTTGCAGTATGTATTTTTGTTTCATAACCTCTCTGTGACTCACCTCTGTCATGTGGATCAAGTAGAAGTGCAGATCTTCACTGTGATCTGAGGAAAAAGGTCATAAAATGCTTTGAGAAAGGCAAGAGTGAGTTTTTCAACATAACAGGTTTGCAGCTAAACTGCTATATTCATATATAAAGGAGGTGAGAAACCAATCTAAGATGGCTGATGAAATATTTCATATTCTCTGGCCATTATTTGAGCAGTTATCAGAGGAGACAGTCCTGTACAGTACAGACACCTGCAGGATCTTTAGCTACGCTGAGATGGTTATCCTGTCACACGCGTTCATCTCACTAAATTATTCAGGACATCTACGCAAACATTCATATCTCTGCTAAATCTCCTGAGCAAAGACACGGCAACAACCTGAGCAAACAATCATTGTCTATTTCTTCCGTTTATTTCCCAATTAATCCGATCAATTATTGAATTGATGAAATATGGCATGTTTATTCATATTATTGAATACGAATAAAATATGGCATGTCGTGAGTTAAATGAGCTGTATCTTTCTACTTGTTTTTTTCTAAGCCTTTAAAGGCACAGTATGCAAGTTTCACGGCTAGAGGTCGTTTTATGACGCTGTGGGTGAGGGTGCATGGGATCATGGGAGTTGTAGTGTTCACCTCCAGCAGTCCGACGAGAAATAATGTTCATTGATGAGCTAAAGTTTTATTAACGTTACTGTGGTGGCACAGACTAGGACAATTACATGCAGTTTTTAAAATACTTACAGGTGAAACTCCAAAAATTAGAATATTGTGCAAAAGTTCATTTATTTCAGTAGTTAACTTAAAAGGTGAAACTTATATATTATATAGACTCATTGCATGCAAAGCAAGCCTTTATTTGTTATAATTTTGATGATTATTGCTTACTTCCGGCTATGTTGCCCGTGACCTTTTGAACGTAATTACGTATTACGTGACGTTACAAACGCACCTCACAGAATAGAGCTAGGCTAGCATTTGTCCTTAGAAAAGTTACATTTTTGGAATAAGTTTTGAAATAACCGATCGTTTCGCTAGATAAGACCCTTATTCATCGTCTGGTGTCGTTTAAAGACATTTGAAGCTGCACTGAAACTGTCTTTTGGACCTTGGACCGTTTGGTCCCCATTGAAGTCCATTATATGGAGAAAATCCTGGAATGTTTTCATCAAAAACCTTAATTTCTTTTCGACTGAGGAAAGAAAGACGTGGACATCTTGGATGACATGGGGGCGAGTAAATTATTAGCAAAAGTTTTTTCAAAAGTGAACTACTCCTTTAAGTATTGTCACTCACCATCCCGCAGCTGCAGCTGTCTGAGGTACAGTGGGTTTTGCAGGACATTACATCGTCCCGATTCATCCTCTCTGGTCACCAACATCAGATCGGAGTAAATAAAGATTGTTACCTAAAAAGAGAGAGCGAGGGTGAGAGAGTTCAGCAGAAAAGGATCAAATGCAGATGTTTTAAAAGAAAAGTTATTGAACTGGATAGCAGCTTTATTAAAACATGATTGCAGTGTGCAAAAATAAATCAGGTCGGCCCGTCACAGCCCGTCTTTATTTAGCCCAAAAATAGTTGGGTCTGATTGGGTCCACATTTATCCCAAGATGGATATCTTTGCACCAACCCAGGATCATTAGAAAAACTTTTCACAATGACGTTACCTCGCGTTTTGCACGTTTCTCGGCAGTTTCAACATTAACCCTCTGATGGTCCTCGGTCACTTCTGACCGAATAATTTTCTTGTTTGAATTATTAAAAATCACAGCTTCATCGGAAGGTTATGATTCTTGGTGACTTTTTTGGCATTTGGTATGTGAATACAAAAAAAAATTGAGGTCATGATCCGAGCATGCTAAGTGGTCGTAAAAAAAAATAGTCACACTCTTCGGTCAGAAATGACCAACCTATAGGAAATGAATGGGAAATTTACAAAAAAACTTGTACAATCTACAAATCGGCCACAATTCTTAAAAGAAGTATACCGCAGTAAAGGGGTGACACTCTACAACATCTAGAGTGCAAAAAATTTACACCCACCCACACACACACACATACAAACACACTTTTATACACATACACACCAATAAATTCAGATTACAAAAAATCTGTTTTGAATTTTTAAAAATCACAGCTTCATCTGAATGTTACGAAACTTGGTGACATTTATGGCATTAGGGACGTGAACATAGAAAAAAATTGAGGTCATGATCCGAGCATGCTAATTTGTCGTAAAAAAATTAGTCACGATTTTGGTCTTTGGTCAAAAATGACCCCCATAGGAAATGAATGGGAAATTAACAAAAACACACAAAAAAATTATCTATTTTTTTTTTACAAATTTTTTAATAAGAAATAGTTTTTGAGATTGTTTCAATTATATATTCAAATCCACCAACAAAAAAAAATGTGTTCATTAACATCTGGGGAATTCACATGCCTCTCCATAGAGAGCTGTACATGCCATCTAGTGGTTACACCATGATTCTACGCTTTTTCTCTACACTGTAACCAGATGGTGCTAATTTTCTTCAAAAAAATTTTTTTCCTGAAGGCCTAGACTCTATATTAAACAAAAATACTGCATTAATAATAAAAAAAAATAATATATATATATATATATATATTTCCATTGAAAAAATAGACCATAATTATTGCATAAATATTAATAAATGTAATCAAATTGTCTCAAAATACTAAATTAAAAAGAATAAATATTATAGAACAAAAATAAATTGCATTGGTTTTACTGGGATGGAAGAAGTTTCATTTTTAGGCCTCCGGTCACTTCTGACTGGGAAGGCCCAGGACGTGACTCTTAACGGAAGGGTTAAATGTCCAGTGAGTGGCACTAAAAGAGTGTTCAGTATTCTCATGAATCTGGCATTGTTTTATTATGTCGGTTGTTGAACATATTGTTACGTTCCGTGGCTCTGGGCAGATCCAACAGTTTTAGACTTCAACAGAGGACCCGCCTACAAGGAAGTTAACACCAGTGAATGGAGCGAGGCCAGACTCTCTGTACAAGAGTCCGGCGGGACACGGCTACTTTAAATAAATACTGCATTTGGATCCTCAATCTTCTTGTCTCGGAGCAGTTCGTGACACTCTCACTCAAGTAGGGACAAAAGAAAGTTCCAGCAGTTTACACTAGACATTGTCGAGGTGGGAAAAAAGAGATAAATCTTAAATTATCTATGAGTATTTATTCCAGGAAAAAGCACTTGACCCCACATTAAGGAAGTTATAAAACTGTACTACTTTTAGAACAATTTCAAGTGTGAAATGCCCTAAATCCACATGCACACTATGTAGAGCATCTCTTACCTTGATCGAGAAGTGCCTGCTCTCATGTAGGATCATTTCCTCAGAGATCACCAGTGTTCTTGTTGGGCTACACAGATCTACAGGCTTCGGAAAAGAGAGAAACAGACTCTGACTCCAACTTAATGAGCTTAATAACTCATATAATATTCACTGGTTTGATTAAAGCAAGTGCTGAACTAGAAGTACTGCGTTTTATAGAGTACTCAATCCCCTTACCACACAATTCTCTATACTAGTACACTGTAACATTCAACAATTGTGTTTGTATTTAAGTATGCAAAAGACAACCTCGGACAGGTTGTGTGACATGCTATCTATCTACAAAAACCATGAAAATATTACAATAAATAAGAATAAATATGGTTTGTGTTTTGATTGGCTGTTCAGGGTATGACACATTTTGAGATTACACTCACTCTATTCATATGCATATTTCTTCATATCGTTGGCCAGATGCAGCTCATACTAATTTTAATGAATTTTAGGTTTGATTTTAAGGACTTTTTTTTATTTGTGTACTAGATGATAAACCATTTCAGTGCTGTGTCGGGCTGCCACTTCATGTCTAATGAAAAATCTGGGCTATCCCAGCTAAAAAATTATATTATTTTCTAAGAACGTTTTGCTAATGTTCCCGTTAAAGGTACAATATGCAGATTGTTTCGCCACCAGAGGTCGCTAACCTCTTACAATTACAATAATTAAGCGTGTTGGCGGTATGAGACTAAGCTAGATTAACATTAGAGAATAACATACAGATCATATTCTAACTTTTCATCATGTTGAACTGTATAACATTGATAAGTTTTATATACATATACATATATACATATATATATATATTTGATGGTCGCCCATTGTGACCATTTTTTACCATGCCTACTCTCAAATAAATGAGGCCCACGATTAATCAGATGCAAACAGAAATGTAAAACCAGTCCTAATTGAAAGAGAACAAGTTGACAAACAGATTGAATCCAAGATTGGGTGAAAATATGGTATAATGAGTGATTTATAAGCTATTTTTTATAGGCCGGTCATTTTTGACCGGGAACACCACAAGTGTGACTATGTTCCATATTTTTTACAAAACAAAAGTTTCAAAACAAAATTCCTGGTAAATCATTAGAGTAGACAAGAGTGATGAACAGTAGCCATTTTTTTCAACAAAAAAAAATTTCATATTTCCAAATTTATTCATAAATTATTTATTTTTTACTCAAAAAATTAGATGCCTACTCTCGGATAAATGAGGCCCACGATTAATCAGATGCAAACAGAAATATAAAACCAGTCCTAATTGAAAGAGAACAAGTTGACAAAAAGATTGAATCCAAGATAGGGTGAAAATATGGTATAACGAGTGATTTATAAGCTATTTTTATAGACCGGTCATTTTTGACCAGGAACACCACAAGTGTAACAAGGTAACAGAACTCCCACAAAAAAATACGAAAATGTTAAAAAAACAAATGAGATATAGTTATACCGCTTGGGAACAAAGTCACTAAGTTTCAATCCAAAGCGATAACATTAACTAGTATTTTCAGGAAAAAGAAAATCTTCCCCGGGTCAAATTGACCCGAACACCACATGAGGGTTAAAGAAATACTTCAGTCACATTCTCAAAATGTTAAAAGGACAGTCAGTCAACTACACTGTAACAACGTAACGTAACTATTACTAGCTAATCCCGCTTCACTCTCGGCTTATTTAACAGCAAAACTGGACATGATAGTCAATGGGGACTGTGTAGAGCGCCCTCTTGTGGACAAACTATACAACTCCAACACTCATGACACGGTTGAAGCGCGTTTTGTCCGTTTTTATTTTATTCCTGAAATATTCATTTATCGGCCATTATAACTGCCGATACCGATAGTTTGGAAAATGCCTAATATCGGTCTGGCTCTAATCACTACTAAAGCTCAGTAGATCTGTGTGCTTATTTTGAAGATATGGAAGATTTACCTGCACAAAGATGGGGAAGATGAGGATTTTAGGCGTCACTTTAACGTAGGTGCCATAGTTGGCATGAGGCGTGTGTGATCTCACAATGGTGCAGTTCTGGTAGTTGGCAAAGTTTGAGGTGTGTGTTGGCTGTTGGTAATGTCCACTTTGCTGTGTTGTGGATTTGCTGTTGCCAGAGCGTCTCAGAAAGCACGTTCTGCTGGCCAGTCCAGGTGCTGACTGGGAACCAGTGGCCGGAGGAGGAGGAACAGGCGTCTGAGGTGTGGGGAACATCTGGCCAGCTGGTAGAGAGTAAAGATCGTATAGGTGAGATTCAATCAGATATCAGATGGATAAATGACAAGACATGGTTCAGGCTGGCCCCGCATGTGCACAGATACCCATATTAGAGCTAAACCGATAAAGGATTTTGAAGGCTGATACCGATAGAAATATTTGTTGGTTTTAAAATCCGATATATTTTTTTTTTTTTCTGAAACATGCAACAAAAAATGAACAGATTTCCCTAACATTAGTTAGTTTTAACTAAAATAATATGATAATGCATTTTATAAAGAAACTTGTTTCTTTTATTCTCACCAGAACAGGCTGATGACTGAGCGCCCTCTGGTGGACAAACTATACAACTCCAACACTCATGACATGGTTCAAGCGTGTTTCGTCCGTTTTTATTTTATTTTTGAAATATTCATTTATCGGCCATTATAACTGCCGATACCGATAGTTTGGAAAATGCCTAATATCGGCCGATAATATCGGCCTGCCGATATATCGGTCTGGCTCTAACCCATATTAATCATAAAATCATATCTCTGTTATTGTTTGGAGGATTTTGTGGAGAGGAGAGTGGGGGACAAAGGACATATATTTCAGATTTCTTTACCTTTTGTTTTGCTTTTTTCGTCTATTCTTATATTGTTGTTTTGTAAAATGTCTATGTATTCCTGCATAGAAGTATAGAAGAGCCGATATATGACAACCGTAGACCCTTGATGAAAATCCCATGTTTTCTGGTCAGTATTTCTGCAGTAGGTTGTGCCATACGGGAGAAAACATCATGTCATCATGTCAGTATCCACTAGTAATAAGAAGTAGAGCCATGGATAGAAATGAATGTAATGAGTTAATTGAAATGAAGCCTTAATGTGTGCATTGGATCAAACAAAACATGAAGGGCATAGCTATGAAATGGTCAAATTGACAAATTCGCGAATCTATTTTTTGCAGTCTAATGACTTGGACTTGGAGTTCTAACACAACGAAATTCTGTCTGGCGAATCTCAGTTAAACAACTAAACAAAAACACTTCAAACAAGCAACAATAAGCAGCATCAAACAGCAGCAATTACTTTTAAATGAAGTATCATTATGTAAAGTGCAATACCCTTCATTGCCATGCTTAAAGGAGTAGTTCATTTAAAAAAAAAAAACGTTTGCTAATAATTTACTCACCCCCATGTCATCCAAGATGTCCATGTCTTTCTTTCTTCAGTTGAAAAGAAATTAAGGTTTTTGATGAAAACATTCCAGGATTTTTCTCCATATAATGGACTTCAATGGGAACCAAACGGTTCAAGGTCCAAAAGACACTTTCAGTGCAAACTGCAAACTGTTCAAAGGGATTTAAACGATTCCAGACGATGAATAAGGGTCTTATCAAGTGAAACGATCGCTCATTTAATAAATAAATAACAAAGTTTAAGTTTTATAAGCACAAATGGTCGCCTTGCTCTGTTCTGTGATGTGTGTTCGTGACTCTCCTGTTCGAACTCATTTATCAAAATGAACAATTCTTTTTTCGTGTCATTGGGTTCATTCAACGAACGAAATGAATGAGTTGACTCTGGAAAAGATTTGTTCATTTTGATGAACGAGTTCGAACAGGAGAGTCACGAATGCGCATCACAGAACAGAGCAAGGCGAGCATTTGAGCAACTTTGTTATTTATTTATTAAATGAGCGATCATTTCACTTGATAAGACCCTTATTCATCGTCTGGAATCGTTTAAATCCCTTTGAACAGTTTGCAGTTTGCACTGAAAGTGTCTTTTGGACCTTGAACCGTTTGGACCCCATTGAAGTCCATTATATGGAGAAAATCCTGGAATGTTTTAATCAAAAACCTTAATTTCTTTTCGACTGAAGAAAGAAAGACATGGACATCTTGGATGACATGGGGGTGAGTAAATTATCAGCAAAAGTTGTTTTTAAAGTGAACTACTCCTTTAAGACTCTTACTCAAGGACACAATGTAGGGCTCAAGATAGTAACTTTCCAAACGCTGAGCCTTAACCACTGCACCACATCACGAAGAGAAAATGCACTAGGAAAGAGGAACTTACTTGTCCTGTGGTTGTCTCCATAGACAGAGCCCAATGCCTGGAAATATTGAAGAGACAATGACAATCAATACATGTTAAGATATTAGTGGAGTTTTCTCACTACTTTAATGAATCAATGATTACAATATTAGGCCTTTTTTCACACAATACACATAAGCAACACCTAAGTTCTGCTTTTACACTGGAAGCATTTTCATTCGTACATAAAATACAGTGATAAATATAGTGTCGGATTTTAGAATAATTACAACCAGATTATTGTGAACTGCATTTTACATACACTCACCTAGAGGATTATTAGGAACACCTGTTCAATTATCTAATCAACCAATCACATGGCAGTTGCTTCAATGCATTTAGGGGTCAAGACAATCTCCTGAACTCCAAACTGAATGTCAGAATGGGAAAGAAAGGGGATTTAAGCAGTTTTGAGCGTGGCATGGTTGTTGGTGTCTGAGTATTTCACAATCTGCTCAGTTACTGGGATTTTCACACACAACCATTTCTAGGGTTTACAAAGAATGGTGTGAAAAGGGAAAAACATCCAGTGAAAATTGGCGGAAATGCCTTGTTGATGCGAGAGGTCAGAGGAGAATGGGCCGACTGATTCAAGCTGATAGAAGAGACACTTTGACTGAAATAACCACTCGTTACAACCGAGGTATGCAGACAACACACACAACCTTGAGGCGGATGGGCTACAACAGCAGAAGACCCCACCGGGTACCACTCATCTCCACTACAAATAGGAAAAAGAGGCCACAATTTGCAAGAGCTCACCAAAACTGGAGAAAATGTTTCCTGGTCTGATGAGTCTCGATTTCTGTTTTTGAAGAGTCAGAATTTGGCGTAAACAGAATGAGAACATGGATCATCATGCCTTGTTCCCACTGTGCAGGCTGGTGGTGGTGGTGTAATGGTGTGGGGATGTTTTCTTGGGACACTTTAGTGCCAATTGGGCATCGTTTAAACGCCACGGCCTACCTGAGCATTGTTTCTGACCATGTCCATCCCTTTATAGCCACCATGTCCCCATCCTCTGATGGCTACTTCCAGCAGGATAATGCACCATGAATCATTTCAAAGTGGTTTCTTGAACATGTCAATGAGTTGACTGTACTAAAATGGCCGCCACAGTCACCAGATCTCAACCCAATAGAGCATCTTTGGGATGTGGTGGAACGGGAGCTTCGATCCCACAAATCTCCATCAACTGCAAGATGCGATCCTATCAATATGGGCCAACATTTCTAAAGAACGCTTTCAGCACCTTGTTGAATCAATGCCATGGAGAACACAGTATTAGTATGGTGCTCCTAATAATCCTTTAGGTGAGGGAACATCCAAATGATTTAGCCATAAACTGACTATTTTGAAGTGAAATCACAGTGAAATCGCACTGAAACTCTCATTTGGACCTTGAACCGTTTGGACCCCATTGAAGTCCATTATATGGAGAAAAATCCTGGAATGTTTTCATCAAAAACCTTAATTTCTTTTCGACTGAAGAAAGAAAGACGTGGACATCTTGGATGACATGGGGGTGAGTAAATTTTTTTTAAAGTAAGTGAACTACTCCTTTAAGCTGATGATGGACAATGCTTGGCTCTACCTGATTAACCGGAGACAGTATGATGTAATCGTCCCCGTTTGATGCTTTCACACGCGTCCCTCTGAGCGTCTGAGTGCCGGGCTTGCCGTCCACAACACTCCTGCGTTCTCCCCACAGGATTCCCGACCCTCTCGCTCCACCGGCCAGCCCGTCGGACCCGTTCACCAAACCCCTGCGCTGGTGGGGGGCAGAGGCGGGAGCGGCGGCGGCGGCTGGTCCCCCCTCTTGCTTCTAGCCGGGGAAACTGGAGTGTCATAGTAAGAGGACTTGTAAGTAGGATGATGGATCAGTCGCTCGAAGTTGGACTTCACAGAGGGTCCCGTCCGCCAAACTACCACTGTGATTTCACTGAGACTATTTCTGGAGAGAGTGAGAGAGAACAGTACAAACGTTGTAGTTGATTTATTTATTAATTATTGAGCGTGTTTATGAGCAAACGTAAGATTGTGTCAACACCTCTAACAGGTTTCACCTTGATAAAAAGACACGAGCTGAATGTAATTAAATGTTGTACACTTCAAATCTTAAAAGTATGTTTTGGAAAAATGTTACTTGCAGATAATATAAGGCTCAAAAAGAGTACACTGTCATGACTTTGCTTCTTTCACTTTTGTAATCATGTCAAATTAAAAGTTTAATGAACATTTTAAATAATTGTGTTTTACATAATCTTCGGAGGTGTTTTAAATGTTCTAATATCTAATATATATAATATATATATATATATATCATATCTAATATATATTATATACAACATATATAAATATATTTTAAATGTTCTAAATTATAACTGCATCATTACAAATGTGGATTTGCTAATATATTTAAATTAGGGCTGTGCAAAGATTAATTGCGATTGATCATATCCAAAATAAAAGTTTGTGTTTACATAATATATATGTGTGTGTTGTGTGTAATTATTTTTGTATATATATATAAAAAAAAAACACACATGAAAAAAAAATGTGTTATTCATATATAAAATATTAATATATAGATTATGTATTTATATGAAGAGTTCAGATGCAAAAGCCTCTAAGTGCCATTTGACATTCTCTTCTAGAATAATAATTTTTATCAAGCTTGTATATTTAAATTCAGTAATTTCACTTAAATGGCAATTCAAAGGTAATCTTCATTGTCATTTAAGTGAAATTACTTAAATATACAAGCTTGATAAAAATTATCATTCTTGAAAAAATTTCAAATGGCACTTAGAGGCTTTTGCATCTGAACTTTTCATATACAGTATTTACCAGCAAATAATTCTTAGATATATACATGCATGCATAGAAAATACACGGCACACACACATATGTAAACACAAACTTTTATTTTGGAAGCGATTAATCGGACAGCCCATAATTTAAATACATGATATAGATTGCAAAAGAAATGACTTAAAGTATCTTATAGTTTACCACAAATGCTTGTCAGCACACTTTAACATAAGTAGCTAATTATGCAAATACATATGAACATGTACTTAAGTCCTACTTTAAAAAGTTGCATTTCATTGGAGAAAATAACATTTATTATTAAAGGAAAGGGTAAGACTTTTGAGGATGTTTGCAATCCCTTTAGATCATTCATAGAGAAAGAGGATAGTGACCTGTTTAAAGAGACAATTGAAGATATGTGAGATCATAGGATGTATTTGTATTAGGAGGCCTTAATAGTTAGTATGTGTTTTTTATTAATTAATTTTTTTTTTTTATTATTAACTTAATTATTTATTCATTTTATTTTTTTATTTTATTTTTTTTATGTTCATTAATCTTGAAAATGTGAGTCCTGTACAAATTGAGATATGCTAAGTTGTAATGATGCGAAAGACATCAATATGTGTCTATACTGTATTTTGTATTTTTGTTCTGGGTGTGTGTGTGTTTTATATGTTGGTAAAAAAAAGTTAATAAATATATTGGAGAAAAAAAAGAAAAAAAGTTGCATTTCATTTAAATGTACACTACATTTTTTTAATGGCAATTAGGTGTTTTCAAAAAAAAATAACATTCAATTTGCACTAAAGTTTATTATTTTAAATTGTAGTATTTCTGAAAGTGGTTTTTACAGTAAAGGTCATAACAGCGTTTCTTTTTGCACAATAGCTTATGCGTACAGTGTGCCCGAGTGAATTATTATGAATAATAATTTGATCTTCACAACTTTAGTGTTATATGTACCTGATAGCATGTGCAAGATCTACACACTTCCAATGTTTGACCGGTTGACCGTTTAACTGCAAAACAGTGTCCGACTGCTGCAAACCAGCCTGATGCGCCGGCCCACCTGAGGGAACAAACACACACACATATTTAGTTTCCAAGTTTTATGGAGACTTAATAATTATAATGGTTTTATACAGTACAAACTCTATATTCTATCCTCAAACTCATTACAACATTTTTTTTACATTTTTACATTTTCAAAAAATCTGAAATATCCACAATATGCCATCTTTGAGGACACACACACACACACACACACACAACAATACTGAAGACAACAGTCAGTGTTACTCAGCAGTGACTAATGTAGCCTAAAACTCACAGACACACTGACCCATGTTTGACTGCTTAACACATGACGCAGAAAAACCACACATTCTCAGCCTTCAGTTCAACAGCCTCCTCTGGCGCACACACACACACACACACACACAACAATACTGAAGACAACAGTCAGTGTTACTCAGCAGTGACTCATGTAGCCTAAAACTCACAGACACACTGACCCATGTTTGACTGCTTAACACATGACGCAGAAAAACCACACATTCTCAGCCTTCAGTTCAACAGCCTCCTCTGGCGCACACACACACACACACACACACACCGGAGCAGTTCTTGCCTGGATCGACTGCTTGTATACGAACAGGCGAGTCAGAGCAGATGGTGAAGCCGAAGCCGTCCTTTCCTCGTAGAATGGTCACCTAAAGCACACACACACACATATGAGTGCAACACACTGCCACCTGCTGGAACAGTACGAAACTGCAGCTGCCCTTAATTTTTTTTGCTTCAGTCTTACAGAGATTTACTTAAGCAGCAAAGTACAGAAGGTTGTGCAATATTGTAAATATAACTATAAGGTTCGACTCACAGAGGAGTGACTATATTCTATTGCATTGCAAGTTGCAACTAATATGAAAATGCGTTTAATAAAAGGTTAAAAGAAAAAAAACGTACTTTACATTATTTTATAAAGAAAATTCATTAAGTGGGTGTGCTGTGCTCTAATATAAGCAGTATATATATAATTTTTTTTCCAATATAGCTGCACTGTGAAATTGCTGAATACCATAGCTGTCTAAATATAGAAATAATTGGGGAAAAAGTTTAGAAAAATTCCTATCGCACATATTATTATTATTATTATTTATTTATTTTTAAATCTTATCCCATATACAGTAGTCACCCACTCAAATTGCATATTTCAGCAGTATATGTAGGCCTACTTATATTCGGATTTGTTAATAACAGAATACAGTCTAATATTATTACAGGATGTAATGGACACAGTTGATGTAAAAAGTATACAAACCCCTCGGCTTTGTAATGAAAAAAATAAATAAAGATGAATGGCATCAGAACTTTTGCACATTTAACCCTCTGGGGTTGTTCGGCCCAAATGGACCCGAAGAATTAAAATACATTTTTCTTTAAAAATCACAGCTTCCTCAGAATGGTCCGAAATTTGGTGACTTTGTTGGTATTTGAACACCCAAACAAATTGGGGACAGGATGTGAATAGTCTAAGTGGTTGTAAAAAAATAGTCACACTTGGAGTGTTCGGGACTAAATGGACCCGCATGGAAAATGAATGGGAAATTGGCAAAAATGTGAAAATACTGAGTTTTTTTTGTGCGTACAATCTACAAATCAGCCACGATCTTGAAAAAAAGCACACAACAGTGAAGGGGTGAATCTATAAAACATCAAGAGTGCAAAACAGACACACCCAGACACACACACACACACACAAACACACTTTTATACACAAACACACCAAAAAATTCTGATTATACATGTGTTTTGCATTTTTAAAATGCTCAGTTTGTCCACCAGATGGCATCCATCTCATTTCAAAAATTGCTTTTATGAGGCCTAGGCTTGACTCTAAAATGAAATACAGCTTTAAAAAAAATTTTAAAAATACTTTTTTTTTTTTAATTTTTAATTTTTTCTATTATGTCAATGGGGGAAATTTTGTCATAATTATTGCATTAATACTAATTATAATTTTTTTTTTCTTTTAAATTTTTTCAAAACACCAAAAAAGAAAAGAAAAAATATTATAAAAAATGAAAGTAAGGTCAATCTGTTCTTCATATAAAGTGATCGAGTTTGCACTAAACCTCTCAATTCACATGGATTAGTCTTCTAATCTATGTGAATAAGTTGCTGTTTTCCTTATAGTTTTCCTGTTTCGTTGATTCATTCCCGTATTCCCTCATGAATGAACTCGTCTGCCCTTATAAGCCCTCAGAATTGTTTGTAAGGAGGTTGTAATACCCGTTCCCTGTGTTTACCTGTGCCATTTGGATTGGATTGTTTGCTCGATGTGCACTGGTCACTACCCTACCCGTGGCAATATTATTCTCTATTTTCATTTTCATATTTGCTTTATTATAGCATCAATCTCACTAAATTGTGATACACAATTAAAATGGTCAAAGTTTTCTTACTAAGTAAATATATATTTAGATTTATATCTTTGGTAAGGGTCACCGTGATTTTCACATATTTTGTTGATCCTGGAACAACATTCCTGTCGAAAAATGTAGTCCTCCCCCTAAACCTAACCCTACATATAAGTTACGTGTAATATCAGAGGGAAATTATAGTTTATAGATAGATAAAGTCAAGTCAAGTCACATTTATTTATATAGCGCTTTTCACAATACAGATTGTATCAAAGATAAGCCTAAACTGGAAACTCATCCCTTAAAGCTGATTGGTTGACTGAAATGAAGTGGTTGGTGAAATTAAGTTCATCACTGAAGGATTACAATTTGGTGGATGGGGGTTATAAGGTGTAACCGTATGGGGTCCCTTTTAAAAATCTGCTTAGGGCCCCTAAAATGTGAGGGCCGGCACTGGCTGAGAGCAGATCCACTACATCTGCAGAGGGTGTTTAAGCCTCCGTGTGTGTGTGATGGCTGATCCTTACATGACATGAAGGGATTACAGCGGAAATCTGGATTAAACCGAGAGAGAGAAAGGGAGGTGAAGAGGACATGAGAGGAGTAAAGAGGAGAAAATTACAGGATATGAGAGAATAAAAGTTGACAGCACTCTAAAAAAATGCTGGGTTGTTTTAACCCAAATTTGGGTCAAATGTGGACAGACCTATAGCCGTTGGGTTATTTTTAACCCAACATTTGGGTTTGTTCATGTTTGACCCAAAATTGGGTTAAAACAACCCAGCATTTTTTTTAGAGTGAAGAACACTTGCTTTGCATTTGCTTTCTCTTCATCCGATCATGCATTAAGTCAAGAATTTCATTAAAGGTGCATTATGCAACATTTCATGTTAAAAATAGCCGTTTTTCTAACCCATATGCTTTAACGATTGCCTGAATGAGCTCTTCTCTGATCACTGCGATTGCCTCTATAATCCTGTACAGTGAAATAAATAAGAGGGATTCGGGACAGATTTGAGACTGGGCGTGACGTCATGCGCGTTCACGCTCGCCTGGCGGGTGTGTGTATTCTCCGCCATTCTCCGTATCAGTGAAGATAACTCGAGCGACACAACTTTAGTCAACTTTCCACAAAAGTAGAAGATAGATTCAAAGAGACCGGCTTGTAGTTCACTCCAAACCCCGACGCAAACTCCACGTAAGACAAAGAAAATAAAACTTCTGTCTAGCGCCAGGCGTCGGAATAAGACGAGAGTCGACATCGGGAAGCTTTTTTAACAAACGGAGAGATCTCCGGCCGGCTCTAACGGGTCCTGTACAAAGTAATAACTTATATTGTTCATGAACGTGTTTCCATAATAATACAATCATAAGTGGATACAGTAAACACATAAAACAGTTCAATATGGAGAGAGATGGAAAATAAAAAAAACCTCACACACACATAAGTGTGTAATTTACTCAAATGCCTTTCCTTTCATATATTTAAAATGCTTTATTACCTCATTATGACTGTAACAAAAGATGTGTGCAGCTGATGCTCCATTGGTTATGAACAGCTTGTGCAAAGGTGCGTGTGATCTATGAGCGCACACACCTCTGGTTGCAGTTTCGCTTGTCGCCAGAGGGGGCGTAGTTCTGCAAAAACTCAGAGACTTGCGCAATGCACCTTTAAATAATACATTCAATTTCGTTTGCTTTTTACTAAACCCTATCGCATACGGCATGTGTCGTCGCTATTCACTGCCATTATATGAACAACTATGAGCGAGACATTTAAAAAAAAATATTTTTGTGGTCCATAAAAGATAGGAGGGAATATGGCATTAAAACAACACCAGGGTGAGTAAATGATGACTTAATTTTCATTTTAGGGTGAACTATGCCTTTAAATCTTTCCTCGCCATTGATGGAATCTCACATCCTTTATGACACACCGCTTTAGTTTCCGGCAATACATGTTTTCATGTATTAGAAGCACTGCTCACACACACATTATGGAAACAATCATCGCTCATCGTTTGAATCCGATCCAGACGAAGTCGGACTAAAAAGCAATTTACTCAGCTTTTTGCTCAGAATAATCAAAAATTCTGCAGCTGACAGGAACCTTTATTTAAAAATAAATAAATAAATACATTTTATATATGCAGGAGGGAAAAGAATTAAAGTACAGTTAAAGGTATATTTCAAATATATAAAAATGAAAAAAACTAAATAGGAACAAGTATACTTGCAGTACAAAACCACTTATCTAGGAGTTAACAGAGTATACTTCAAAGTGTACTTTCATAAACAATAAAATGTGCTACAATATTGTAGTAAAATTGTAACAAAAAGTGAGAAAAGTAACAGAAAGTAAAAACAAACAAAAAGTGTAGTTGAAAACTGTACTCAAAGTTTACTGTTACACTTCAATTATTCTTAAAAGTGTACTTAAAAAGTGGGCCAATTTAGTCCCAAGTAAGTAGTACTGAAATACAGTTACATGTACACTACTAAAACATTGGTATTAGTATATTTAATACATAAAAATATACTTAAAGTATACACTTAAAGGGATAGTTCACTCAAAAATGAAAATTCTGTTTTCCAAACCTTTATTAATTTCTCTCTTCTGCTGAACACAAACGAAGATATTTTGAAGAATGTTTATAACCAAACAGTAATGGGTCGTATGGACAGTGAATGGGTGATATCTTTGGGTGAAATATCCCTTTCATAAAATTAACTTGAAGTTACTATTTTTGCAAGGTCATATATGCTCGAAAACAAATGTGCTCACTTTATGTTAACAACACCATTAAGTTGCATCAGGGATATTTGCCAAATTACTACTAGGATAAAACCAACATTTTTCTGCTATGCGATTCTGACATCACCCTTTTACTCTGTGCCAACCCATTCAAAGACTTCAACCAAGTGAGAGGTTGATTTAAATAAATAAAAACGGGAAGACTTGCATTGGTAACCCTGGCGACCCTGATGAGTTCATAGCCTTTGTTTTTGGGCCCATTTCTTTTAAAGCTACAGAGACCATAAAAACAACATGAACACTGATCTCAGAAGGGGATCCATCGGGCAGTGAAGTCTATTCAATCTGTCATTTCACCTCCATTGGGAATTCAGAAGCTCTTTCTTCATTTAAAACGTGGGATTAGAGGAGGAGGTTTGCCTCCTGTTAGCCATGCATGAAGAAACACTTACAACTTTGGAAACAGTCGGCAGAAAGAGTGATCCCGAACTGCCTTGCTTCTCAGGGTAAATCATAGACATAGTTACTGTTG